GCATATTTGAAGGAAGATTTTTTTTTGTAAAAAATAGGTTTTATATCAAGTCGTACTTCTTGACTCATGACAGGGTTTTATTTCAATTAACATTTGATCCAAGATGATTAATTGGCATATTAGTGATGACTTAGAAAACCTTTATCAAATTTGTATACGTTAACAGCTATTTTTAAGTAATATATTTTATTCGTACATATTACAATTCCTGGATGAATTATGGTGATGCACCTTGATAGCTATCGTCACATAACTAAACTGATAAATACAACAATCAAAAGTTAAAATTACGAAAACATATCCTAAACTACCATATAACAATAAATATTATTAAATAAATGCCCAACTATACAAGTCATATCATACGGGTCCGTCCGTATAACACGCGGTTTTTCAAGTCATTAAGTTACACAGAGTTTAGAAACATGTTTAAATCATCAATCAAATATTATTATTCTAGTTTTTATCTAGAAAAAGATACAATAAAGAGTGAAAAAAGAAAACAGACCGAAATACATATATTTTTGACTGAAAATCAAAGATGATGAAAACTAGCCATGACTTGTCATTTACATAAAAATAATTAAAATTGTGATTTTATCTAAATATCACTATACGCACATACAAATATAAAACTCACAATATTAAATTACTTTATTATTGGTAATAATTTATCCTGTGACTAACAGTAGGTACAGTACGGCCGACGTATCTTGGCGAGTCTGAAGTTAGCCGTTTGTCTGCGCAATGGATCTTTTAGGAACAAAATTGTGTACTGCGCAGCTACTCGGCTAACTTCAGACTCACCAAGATACAACGGCCGTATAGTATTTTTGTTGCGTTATCATTTTGTCACACACATTTTCTTGAGTTCTTGGCCATCCTGCCACAAGACAGCAGGAAAAAAAATCCACAATGGAAATGGAATGGTAAAAATATCATTTTCTTTATATTTTGAGAACATTTTTAAAACCACTTTACTTCTGTAAAATTGTTGTAACATATTATTGTAGATTAAAGACGTCTATAATTCATAGCGACATTTTGATAAAAATAAACAAGAATATATATAAAGGCCACATGAGTGAGGTTATTGGAGGCCCAATGTTTCCCCAATCCCAAATCCTTAATCCCCAAACGGTCGGCAACGCATCAATGGGCAGGTGTCAGGGCGGCGCTGATTGCTTGACATCGAGTAATCCGATCCTTAAATTTCGTATATTATTTGTCAAAGTTGGTCACTCAGTAGCCAATCAACAGCTACTGTCTCTTTTATATGTCATAGGTCGTCAAATACCAAACTACCTGATGGTAAGCAATCAACGCCGCCCATGGACCCTCGTCATACCAAAGGAATTAATACAAGTGCGTTGCCGGCCTCTTGTGGGTGATTAGGGATTTAAGGATAGGGGATTAGGGGATTAGAGGATTAAGGATGGTGGAAAGGATTGGGCTATGTAATGTTTATTTTTGTACCAGTATACCAATGAACTGTGCAGGCTGTAGTCTGGATAAACTATTACCAATTTAACAACTCTTACAAACCATCACACAATTGCCTGCTTAACTATAAGTGCTTTCATTTTGAACTCTGACAAGTCGAAAAAGAACTCATTTTTCTCTACCACCAAGATAGATACATTAAAGCAACGAAAACTTAGCACACACAGAGACGCTGACATTTAAATTCATCGTATCTTTGACATTTAAGGTCACAAGTCAAGCAATTTCAAACCTTATACTCATCGTACCACAGACGAAAATGTATAGTTAGATAACTATACCAATTAAAAGCTCTTTAGAGCGATTTTTATGTACAATATACCACAACACAGAGTGCCTAGTGCAAATAATGTGTTTACGTTACGACAATCGGAACGTTACCACGTCAAGGCCTATGATTGGTTGGCTAAATTGGAGTTGACCAATCAGAGTGCCGAACACACTAACGTAAAGAAAACTGACACTTAGCACTCAGATAATAGAATCGATTCACACTACCTAGAACCAACCATAAATATTAATTTACAAGTAAAATTAATGAATAGTTCCATTACATATAAATCCTATAATTAAAATTTATAAATAACAAGGGGCCAAGGAAGGTCATAATTATTTTAATTTATAAAAAGAAGACTATCAACATAGGTTTACATAACCACAATTTGTTTACTACTACGGGCCTTACAACTTAATCACAATTTCAAGTCTCAGTCCATGTGGCTAGGGTTGAAATTTGAATAACAAAAGTAAAATACGAAAAGCTTTTTGGTTTCTTAATCTAAAAAATAGTCTTAATTATGAAGATTTGTATCGGGCAAGAATATATTACAGACTTATTTAAAAAAATCAGTTTAAAATTATAAATTAACTATTTTAATAATATGGAATGGCGTTTACCTGGACTATAAACTATTTTATTTTATTTTAAAAGTATCTATCTATACTGCGATAGTATTTATATCCACATGAACTAAGACTGGACCTACAATCTGAAAGGTAATACGATTTATTTTGGTGAGTGTTGCTAACACTAAGACAGGGTCTTTAAATATTATAGAAATTACGCAGCAACGTTGTTCTGTTAAACCTGATCCTTTTAAATTCAAATCTGAAACACTTTCGCCAAGTTGGGGATCAACAAAACTATTTTTTTTTATGTATAGAACCAGAGACGCATAGGCAAACGAAGCCAACGGCGCCAGATGGTGGAGTAGGCTTCTTGGGGCGTGCCAATAGACAGCGGGCGAAGCAAGCGAATCTTAAAAAGGGCGCTTACCAATGTTAAGTCGCCTGTGTAGAGAATGCTAGTTCAGTAAAATACAAATCGATAGTGTACACTAACCGTAATCCTTTCAGAAAGCAGGTCAAAACAAGCATTAAAAACTTCTTAGATCAAATAATACGCTACACTTTATATAATGTAATAATAATTTCTACAATGATATTTATATATCATTTCACCTCCCAATTCATGTAATCGACTCGAGTTATCTTGCTTGTAAAACAGCATCGTATAAAAACATTATTGTGACTTTAATTCTGTTAAACCCTTTTTATATTCATGAAAAGTGGTAGATAGGAAATATCGATTAAGAAATCGAATCTTTACTGACTCGATTAGTGCAGCATATCTTTATCATCATCATCACTATCATATTAGCCAATAAGATGTCTAAAACTGAACATAGGTCTTCTCAATGACCTTCAGATGTGGTCATTGGAAGCAACCTCCATCCAGCGACTTTCATAAAATATTTGAGAACAAATTAAATTTGTTCTTCGTACATTTACAGCAAGAACCTCAAGCCACACACATAGAAGTACTAACAGATGTCTCCACACAAACTTACTGCAATCTGTCAAGCTTATTTAATCGATAACATATTATTTTGCTTTATGTTTCGTGTTTTTGATGAGAAAATTAGAAAATCTCAATATAAGTTCCAAATTCAACAGTTAGGTTAGGTTAGGATAAAAAAAATTATAACCTAGGAGTTCAATAACCATTGCAAGGCATTCGCATTCGTCGCCCATCGATCAGGGATGATCTCAAAACTATAAAACCTCTTTTAAAATAAACTTGACATATTATAATAGGCTGTCATAAAATCCATCTATATACTCGTACATTACCTAAACTAAGCAATAAGCCACCAAAGTCTTGAAAACATCAATGAAAAAAAAGAATGTTCGAGAATGTTTCATCATTCTCGAACATTCTTCACTTGGAAGAAAAATTTGGCAAAAGGAGTTCTGTCATGCTAACGAAAGAAATTAAAAAAAAATCAGTCATTCGATCAAAATTGAGTCAATTTTTTAGTCTTGATGTGTACTTAATTAATTGGTGAGGCCTACTTGGGGAAAGGGATTAAAAAGTAAAGCGTTAACAACGAGATGAGAAAAATTATAGATATGTTGATACAATAGTCTATCGGTTATGGAAATCAACTAAATATAAACAATTTTAAGATTTCTTTTTTTCTAAAAATTTTATGTAAAAATATTTTTTTTACAATAAGGTATTTACCTAAATCGAATGTTAGCTAATAAATTAAATTTAAATAATCTTTGTATTTATTTTATACGACCTCTTTAATGCAAAAAGACATAGAAATATTGTTAACCTTTAGCTAACCTGATAGATCATAAAATGTGTCCAATACTACAGAACTATAAACATAGAAGTTTCATACACATACTGTATAACATATCTTCTACAGGTGTCCTAAAAACAAATTACAACATAAGGGCTAAAATAAAAAATACAACGAATGACATTTTCAACCTTAATTACATGTATTTATATTAAAACACTGTTGCTTTTTAAATGTCAACATTACTTTTTAATTCTTCCCAAGCGACCTAGACTTCAAACAATCCAGCTAGGTATAAAAATTACGTTCATTACAAAACCACACGGTGGTCCTATCTACATTATTTTTTACACAATAATCTACGACTTTAAGGATATTGAAATAAGAGTCTTTATTATAAACACTTTGTAGAAAATTACGTCTCGATGACATACGGATTCAGCTCTTATGAATTTTGTCTCAGTTTTTTTTTTTATGGAAAACTTAACATAATTCCTTTACACTCTTAGATAACGCAATCTCTCAGATACGTCAAAAAGTATAAAATAACATGAACTGTTGGCTATCTGTACGATGAGTCAACCAAATGATATCAGAAATCAGATAACAACGTTTTATTTCCCTTTTATGTAATTTCATTTATTATACAGTTTTTATTTTCAGACAAGGAGTGTCTCAGTAATAAAGCGGGTTAAATTTAATAAAGATAGAAATAATGTTTTAGAAGTATTTTAATTACAATCAAAATCAGTGAAACTCAGAAAAAACGTAATACCATGTAGTGTCAAATATTTCGACTTCCAGACGTCTACTTAAACGTAGCCAAGCCGAAATCAAAATTAAAAAATATATAAAAAATGAAATCACACAATGAGAACATCTAACAAAATATAAAAAAATCGACTGAAACGTAAAATAAGTGCAACATTTTCCAAAACAACCAGCTGTCAAAAATTCTATCCTAAATTGAAACGTCACATTAATGACAGCTGTCAAACATTGTTTTGAATTTCTTTATAGAAAAATAAACCTTATTTTCTCACCGGATAAGAGCCAAATCCTTACATCAAGAAGAGTCTTGTTGGTTACATGAAGAACTCCCTATTTTCCTGTGGTGGTCATGTATGCCTCATTTGATTGTTCGAATTTCCAGTCGGACTTTGACAGTTCGGTACGTCAATGACGGTAATCTCTATGACCCGTAATCCCCGAAGGATCGGGTCTGTGATGTGTATCCCGCGCGGATTGTAAACTCTTTCGTTTTGTGTCGCTATGAATTTTGATACTTTCCTTAGGTGCTGTGAAAGAAACAGAAATTGCAAGTTTATAAACAATGCAATAGATGTTATAGGTTTCAGAAATGTATATGAATATAATAGGAAATAAAACCTTCCAAAGAATTACTGTATCCATTACTGACAACTACATAACAATGCGTTTAGATGTTTTAAGTTTCTCACACACAGACGGATCAACAGAGTGAGACCTTCTTTTATAAAGATGCATAAGAATGATTATACAATAGTAGATATAGTGAACAGTAGTAGGTATTTAAGGCTTGTGAAGAAGAAGTTGTAGGTAGATTTTGCGATAGCATTGTGCCATCGACCGATGGCGTGTCCCACCATAATAACTTCAGTATCTAGGAACTACCGCTACGTTTTCTATGAAATTTGATTTATTAGAGGCGATTCGTTATTGTAACAACTACAATGCAGTGAAATATGGATAGGTCGATCGGAAATGTTCCAAAGGGTTTTTTTATGGCGAAGAGGATTATTGCAGGTTGTACCACACTTATTTACGATATTGTGTAATCCAATTAGGCAAAATGAAACGTGGGTTAGAAAAAATTACTCAATAAACTAGGGTTATGTAATAATAGACTGCATAGTAGGCGGGGCGGCTGGGCCAGCGGCTGAAGTGCATCGTGCCGCAGGTTAAATTCCCGCTCCGAACAACTCTTAGTATTATCCACAAATTGTTGTTCCGGGTTTGGGTGTATATGTCAAAATACACGACACAGGAGAAAATCTTGTGTGGGTCAACATTTTTAAAAGTAAGTAAACTAATGACTTCAAAACTGTTCACTATCTACAGAGGTTTTTATTATTTCACTTTAGTGTACATAAAATCACATGTTTCAATTAGCTGAAAACTCAAAGCAACAATAGAGATTTTCCTAAACATATAATTTTATTTGATTATACGTGAGACATGGCACGCAATACTTTGCGTTCACCTGTAATCATAGTCTCGTTGGTAAATTACAGCAAAATAAAGGATAATTTCATAGCATTTACATTCAAATTATATTAATTCGCTTTGACAAGACAGATCGGATGAGCATGTGATGAGATGGAGTAGGGTATTAAAGCGAATGAAGAACAAAATGTTTGTTAATGGTTGGAAAAGAAACACAAAAAAAATTTTTCTTTGATAAAAACCTTTTACATTTTTTTAACTTTGTTCCATATTAGGATTTTCTTTAGTTTTTGGTTACTATAATGAATTTGACAAAAACATCAAAAAATATTGACCAAAAGTCAAAGTCAAAAGTCAAAAATCATTTATTTCAATTAGACCACAGTAGGCACTTTTGAACGTCAAGGAAGCAAAAAAGGAAAAAAAGTATATAACAAGAGCTTTAAAATTAAGCGTGTCAGTCTGTCCGTCTGTCCTCTAGTGAAGCTATTTGCTCGTTCCAAAGTGTAGATTCCTATGGAGAAGAACGAGCAAGAAACTCCATGGTTACTCTTTTTCAATCAGTTTTACAATACATTTCTTTGTTACATCATTTAGTCGGTTCTGATATGTGAGAACAATGTAACACTAATGTTCAGGCAAAAAGTACGAAAAAGAAGTGAACCTCAAGGACAACATAATTAGACAGCCTGGAGCTGACCAGTCCCCAATAGGCGGCGCCCGTTCACGAACATGACACGTACACCAGCACCGCCCAACTCAACCATATTATAGGGAATTGGGCGATCCAGTGCCCGTGCCACCGCCAATGAGACCTCTGAGTGAGCATGACAGCTCCCAGCCGACACAAGTACCTATATTCTACAAGTCTTACTTAATTATAATAGGTTACAGGGCACTCACATTTACAAAAACTTAGAAGATCATCAACAATTAACAACAATAATAATAATTAAAATCAAAAATTCCTCTAAACATCCTGTGGAGTAGGACCAGCTAGCCTCCAAGCATTTTTATCTTGTATATAATCATTTACTTTGTAGTATGCTAGTTTACATAAATGTTTCTTTATACATAATTTGAATTTGCTTTCATTTAGATTTTGAATTTCAACTGGGATTTTATTATAACATTTAACACAGAAACCCAGGAATGACTTATGCACTTTTGCCAATCTAAATAAAGGCTGACTCAATCTATTCCTATGTCTAGTATGATAATCATGTTTGTCAGATACCTTTACAAATAAGTGTAGGTTTTTCCTAACATACATAATGTTTTCATAAATAAATTGACTCGGTACGGTCAGAATGTTGATCTCCTTAAACTTTTCTCTGAGAGATTCGCGACGACCTAAGTTATATATAGCTCTGACGGCACGCTTTTGCAAGATAAAAATAGACTCAACGTCAGATGCCTGTCCCCACAACAGAATTCCATACGACATGATGCTATGAAAGTAGCTAAAGTACACTAGTCTTGCCGTGCCTACATCGGTTAGCTGACGGATCTTCCAGACAGCATAAGCTGCAGAGCTCAATCGTCCTGCTAGAGACCTGATGTGGGGCCCCCATTGCAACTTCTCATCTACAGTGATCCCCAGGAAAGTAGTCTCTTTTACAAATTCTAGTTTCTGATCATTTAATAATATATCATCACATACGTTACTTTTAACATTTGGTAAAATAAATCTAATGCATTTAGTCTTTTTATCATTTAGTAATAAGTTGTTTATTGTAAACCAATTTTGAACCTTCATTAAGGCATTATTAACTTCGTCATATTTGTTTGTTCGTCTATTTATTTTAAAAATCAATGAAGTGTCATCAGCGAATAATACCATATGCGGTTCATTTTGGAACATATGGGGCAGGTCATTTACATAAACTAAAAATAGAAAAGGACCTAATATTGAGCCCTGCGGTACGCCCATAGATACGCTAGCACCCAGTGAGTTAACTTTGTTGACTTGTACTTTAATTTTTCTTTCTTGAAGGTATGATTTCAATAAGTCTAGGGATACCCCCCGAATGCCGTAGTGTTCTAACTTCAGTAACAGCGTCTCGTGCTCAACACAGTCGAATGCCTTTGAAAGGTCACAAAATATTCCGATGGCATCCTGTGCTTTTTCCCACGAGTTAAAAACTTGTTTTATAAGTGATACTCCTGCGTCCGTAGTGCAACGTCCTTTGGTGAACCCGTATTGATGGTCATAGAAAATACAATTCGTGTTAAAGTGACGCAGCATTTGAGTAAGCATCAACCTTTCGAACACTTTACTGAGCACTGGCAAAATAGAGACCGGCCTATAGTTATTAGGTTCTGTACTATCACCTGATTTAAATAATGGAACTACTTTACTATGTTTCATTAAATCCGGGAAAACCCCTTGATCTACACTTTTATTAAAAATGAAAGTTAAGTTCGGCGCAATTGTCTCTATAAACGACCTGCACACTCGAACAGACATTCCCCAAAGATCTTCAGTTGACTTCACTTTGATCTCATTGAACGCCTTTATTACCGCCTGGGGGGTTGTGTATTGAAAGCTAAAGTCAGAAGGACATTCTTTGACGTTACCCCTGAGAAGCTCGACAGAAAGTGCTGGAGATGATTTTAACGTTTCCGTAGTTTTAAGAGGAATATTTTTAAAGAATCATCACACTTAGACCCGGAACAACATCCGTTGTATCCCACAAACAATTATTCCTTGTAGGAATCAAGCTTGTGGCACATTGCACAGTCGGATTCACGATTACGATGAGAACCGTGAAATGAGATGCTGTAGTGCATACTGCACAATATGTTTTGAACGCACGGGTAGCGAAATGACTGAGTGCTCGACTGCTGCGCAAAGTAGCGCAGGTTTAATTGCCATAATAATATGCGACTATTCTTTGCACAATCCACAAATGGATTGGATTACACATTAATGTATTAGTGAATTTACTTAGGTAATGTGCCATTTTCCTTTATATTCCGTCATTTAGCAACGAGAGTCCCAAGATATAAGAACAAAACTGAAGGGCAAATAAAGTGCAAAAAAATATGCATTCCTTAGATTCTGTATAGAAGATTGAACAAGTTCTAGGAGAAAACTAAAAATAATAAGTAAAGGAAAAATACAAAATTTGTCGCTGACGCGTGAGTGCGGTTATCAGAGTGCCAATTCTTCCCCAACCACAATCCTTAAATCTCCGAAACCCGTGTTGAACCAGTTGGTTTTTCGCCGCCAATGAACACCCCCATGGGCGGCGAATGCTTACCATCAGGTAATAGGTAGGCTGGTTTGATAAAAAAATATATAAAACATACCTTTTCGTAATGTGTCTCTGTACAGATATAAATGAAGTAGGCAGTAAGACAGGCCAGACAGCCTTCGCAGTATGTACTGCAGTCTGCAGTCTCAGCCATTTCGAAGTGTTCGTTCAGCCGTTCCATTGTGTACTCGAAGGTTTGGCGATCTATCTGGAATATTGAGAAAGATTTTGATTATTCACTATGTAGGTATTACCAATGATAATTTATCTTTTTATTTATCTTTTTCAGCCATGTGTGAATAATATTTAACTATGGTAAGACAAAAACCATAACCAGAAATCCTCCCAGCATCTGATAACAAAACAATCAGAATTTCCACAGGAACCGATATCCATAGCTTTAAACACACTAGGAACACAATCATAACATCTACTTTCAATAATGAATTACTCAATTAGCATCAATGTGATTCATTATTAGTGAATCATAATATGATATTGATGCTAATTCAATAAGTTGAACGGTACATACAAGACATTATTACTCACAGAAAAGTTCAAGGAAACCGTCCATTATTGAATTGTATTGTTTTCTTTTTTAATCTGATTAGAACAAAATTATATCAGGTCAATACTAATAATAATAAGTTTTTGTGTAACTTGTAAATATATTGATGTAAAAAACCCTTTGTGTATGGGATCCAAGAAATGATGCAGTCAGAAAAAAATATCTGTACAAGGACATGTGATAGACAGGTTATCAAAACCTAACCTTGGTTTTATAAAATAACCAGTAAACAAATTGAAAAATTAACTAACCACATTTTTGCGTCAATTTTCCTGATAATTACTCCTACTCAAACTGTTATCAAAAACACCATTAATGTGTGTAAATAAACCAAGTATGTGGTACTCACTCACATATTATTTTTATTTGTTTGCACTTTAAAAGAGACTGAACTCTGAATTCCATTATTATTTCTTCTCATAGTGGTCAACTTTCTATAGTTAGGTACTTTTGAAAAAAAAAAAAAATTAAATATCAAATTAAAAAGTGTCAGTCTCAGTCTGTCTTCTAGTGAAGGATATTTGCTTCTTCTAAAGTGTCCTATTGAGAAGCATGTGTAAGAAATTCAATAATTTACTTTTTTAATCACTTTCACAATTCAATTAAGGCATGTAGAAGATCATTGTCAGTAGAACCTTTATTTGCCAAATAAAAATGTTTTTTAATTCATCACAATTACAAAAAAAAACTACAAAATTATTGTAGTAGAGTGTTACCATACCATGTCAGCTTGGTTAGGGATCCAATAACTTACAGAATGGGGTGGTTGAAAGCAAGCATGTAGCCTGTAACTTCTGACTACTAAACGAATAATACAGTATTCACAATCAACATTGTTAAAAAAAGAATAGATAATATCAAGCCAAAGAATGAATGAATGAATGAATGAATATACTTTATTGTACACCATAATAATAAAAAACATAGGAAACAAAAACACAAAATATATAGTACAAAGACTAGACAAAGCTAAGTTACTTCTTAACTTCTTGTCTGCCAGTATATGAGACACAATCTTCTATAATATAAAAATGAATTGCAAAATGTATTGTGTGTGTGACCAATTATAACAATATTCTTTTCTTGTGTTTGTTTTCATCAAGAGACAGTTCAAGATAGTTCAACACCTTTGCGAAGCACAATCTGGCTGCTAGTATAAAATACATTGTATCGCACTTAAGCATATTTAATATATGTTCTACGGGTTAAGCATGTTTCTCCTCAACAAAGTAAGCAAAATTATTAAGTTACAATGATCTTGAATAACTTTTTGTTAGTTTGTGTCTACCATTTACTCTGTTGAATATTATTATTATTTAAATAACGACTATTGTTACCATACAAACTTATATTCAAGAGTAATATGTAAAACAATTTGTTTGAAGGTCTTGTCGCTTGATGGTGGTATTTAAATATGAATCAACAGGTATTTGATTAAGGTTCAATTTACAAATGGTGTTGTTGTAGATAAATTATAGATTAGGTTAAGAATACTGTTGTTTAAGCATTTTGTTTTGAGTTTGGAACCAATTGAAGAAGAGTAACCATGGAGTTACTTGCTTGATCTTATCCATAGGGAATTTATACTTTGAAACAAAAAAGACTATAGATAGTAGAGAACTGACCAACTGACTGTATTTTTTTTTAATAATAAATCATATATTTGCTAGAATATAGTACAGTACATGTTATAACAGGTTTGGACACACATATTCTGCCCATTATGGTGTGCAAATATAACTATTTCAGTAGTCTATTTAATCCTATGTATAATTTTAACAAGCAGATAAATTATGTCCTTTTAGGTCACATTGTTCAATAGTCAGATAAATGTTACCTGAGGAATAAAATTGTTGCTGTCACTGTCTTATACAAACATACTGATGCAACAGCATCATGATTATTCCACAGATAACTTTTATCTAACCATTTAAAAATCAGCCCTTAATAAAATTACTTAAACTTTTCTTTTAAATAATCTATTATAATTTTTATCTAAAATATTTTTATCTAATTAAATAAATACTTGAAGGTAGGTCTTGTGCACTCTTTGGTAGGTGGTTAAATATCTTGATGGCCATACAGTATACATTATGTTTATATAACACTAGCTACTCTTGCGAGGTTTCACCTGCTGCTTGGCTCCATTGAATCATAGTGTGATGTTTTATAGCACTCAGGAACATTGTAGCTATCTTTCAGAGAAAGAATTTTGGCAATCCGACCAGTGGTTCCAAAGAACACTTTCAAGTTCCTTACAAATTTTACCTCTTTATAATATTAGTATAGATTAGCCCAAATTGTGGTTGACGGAGTATGTCTCTATACCTGCTATCTAAATCATTGTTTGATATTTAAGTGTCTTAAATGATCTTTACTGGTCTAATTAAAATGAATGATTTGGTTTTGACAATATTAATGGGCAATTTCCAGAACCTATCTCCGTGGAAATAGATAATTGACACAATATTTTCTCAGTACAAATTAACTGATAATTTACATCTCTAATCTATCAACTAATTGTTATGACTAGATTGAAATCTGATCATGACCTACATACATACTTTTTATACTGTATGCCCCTTTTTAAGTTTCTAATAAAAAAATGAAGAAATCTGTCAACACTTTGTTATGGATAGTTCTTTTACATCAATGTTCTTACCAATATTTCATCATAATGATGAGGCAGATGAAGAATAATAATCCTTCTCCAAATGATAAGCAATAATGGTAGGTATATTATCTCTCACTATGCTATGGTTGACTGTCAGAGAATGCCTTAAAGCATTAAGTCAGCCATTCTGACTGTTTTGTGTGAAGAAGATAATAAATAAAAAAATATATTTGTAATGGAAGTTTAGAAATCTGTTGTAATTCCGATTTCAATAAACTTCTGACTTTCTAGTAATTACTAGTTACTTCATAAGACAGGCTATGTTTTATTATTTTAATCAACAAGAGGTAATTACCTAGCAAACAAAGCCCATGTGACTAAGTCAAACAAATCTACAGCTTTATAAGTTCATTAAATATGGTTATTTTACATCCTAGTAGGTCAAGCTGTTTTACAACATTTATAAGACTAGTTTAATGACTTGGTCACTGATTTTACAACTTTTTAATGTTGCATGCAAGTCATTTTATTCAAATCAGCAAGTACTAGAACTGAGATCGACTTTCCAGTTCAATAAATCAGAGCAACAACCTCTTTTAACATAAATAAGGTTCGTGAGTTTCACAATATTTTCTTCTCTTTTATGCTCGACTTCTATAAGATCAAACTTTAAACTCATGCATAAAAGAATGTCTTTCAGTCAATAGCACGACAGAACAAGGATAAATTCAAGTTGACATCATTTCTTAGATGTCACAGACGTTTGCAATGTTGACGAACGCGCCCACGATCAAAGGTTCGAAACATCACGTAAACAAATGACTTTCACTTACTCGATCTTCCAGTTCTGGCGGGAAACGAGTCTGGAACTTCACTGCAGTGCCCTCAGAATAATCCCTCTGTATAAATATCTTAATTCCTTGCTGTGTAGGAGTCTGTTGACTCCCAGGCGTATTCGGCCCCGAAGGTATACGATTATTTGCCATCATTTAGAACACACAAACTATACTTCACCAACACAGAATAGAATAAGTCTAAGGAATGCTTTGTGTTATGAATGTATCATAGTTTTAGCATGATAGTATGCAGATAGAAATACGAGGAGGATTCTGTTTTCTCGCGATATTTCGATAAAAGTCCAATGACGTGCGTCAGTGATTGACATTATCTGTCAGGCAGACATCTTGCCATAGACTTCATAAAGAGTTGCGTTTTGAAACGCTAAAAGAAAAATGTTTTGTTATTTATTATAAAAAAAAAATCTTGAACTGTTTCAATTATTAATTTTGATAAAATTCAAGCTTAAAGGCCGAAAAATTCGAAATTCAAAATTTTGTTACACGATAATTTATGTTAGTTTTAACTATTTTAAACAGATGGCGCTATCAGATCAGTAGGGATTTTGCTAACGATGATGACGTTCTGAACAAATTCTTTTGTTTTTTCATGGTCCAATATAAATGAATGAATGTACATTTTTCTAGTACCTATTTTATTAATTATAAAAAAAAACATACTTTATTTGTCTAGTCTACAAACTTCAGCATCAACAAATTCGTTATTAATCTAATCGTTATAAGATACTGTTTACATCAATATCCTCTCCTTTTTTACTTCCATTGTACTACCTAAACAGTAAATCATATTAAAACCCTCGATTGATTAGTGGTCCAACAGTACACCAGCAGCTATTCAGGCCGATTTCGCTCGCATCGCTCGCTGCATACAAACTAGGCGATAGTTTGACGCCTACAACTTAATATCAATTAAGCTCATGCCCATTCGTCCTCAGTTTCATTTCTAATTTCATTTGTGACACGAGGTACCTATCTATATATCTAATAAAAGTTGATGTAGGTAATTAACACCCTTTTTTAACTGCGTCTATACCTATCAAAAATTAATTACAAGGCTTTAGTCTACCTGTGGTCACCTTACATTTTTAGTTTTTCACTGCAGTCGTTACGCGATCGTGCTAGCTGTTGATGTTAATTACCCAAGTTGAAAGTTTGGTAACTAATAGATATGTACTAGAAATTTTATAAAAGGAACAACAGATACCTAAGCAGTTTGGCGACGCCCATAGAAAATTCGACGACAACTATAAAAAAACTAATGACGTCACCGATCGTGAAGTGGTTAATCATGGTTAGAAAACCCTTACGTATCTACATCTATCCAACGGTAGCCCGCCAGGTCAATTATCACCTCGCCTGGTCGAAAGATCTTACTTTTCCGATCCTTGGGAACATTTTTATGTAACAGGACGGCAAACGAGCGTTCTGGTTGCCTGATAGACCAATTGGCGCTGCGTCCCCCCGCACTCATTCCCAACAGGGGTTACAACTTACAAGTGCGCTGCCGGCGTTTTGGATTGGAGATTAGAATTCAGAACATTTAGGGATTGGGGAGAGGTGATAGGAGAGGAAAGGTCTGGTCACACGGCGGAACAGCGCTGTAGTTGTTTCACGCAAGTTTTCTGTAAGGCTGTGGTATAATCACTCAGGTCGAACCGACCCATTCGTGCCAAAGCTTGGGTCTCCCGGCTTACTTTCTATTACCTAAAAGTAGGGTTCGAACTGGTACGAACAGAAAAGTCAGGACCCCACCAGAACCACGCAACAAAAACCTTCGATTAACTTCTCTAACAGGAACAAAATATTGACCATTTTTAGCAACATTTTCACCTTCAGCAAACACTATCTACAAACCTAATTAATTGACAAAACATATTTCACACTCCCATCTGTTTTACTTCCCATAAATCAAGCTAATGACCGATTTATATGCAGACACCGTGGCCGCCCGTCCATATGAACTATCAATGAAAGTGTGGCCAGACCTTCTTTCAGATCTATGTAGGTAACTTAGTTTTGCGGTCAACTATTGTGGACTCAAATTAATTAAATAATTATATGCAATGTGATTATGGTGATGGAATGTGGCTTCCTTTGAGGCCCGGGTAGGAAGTAAGGTACCAACTTAGTGTAGACCTCTGCAAAATGTATTTTTACATTAGCTATATTATGTATCCATGAACTTGGAATAAAATCTCTTTGGCCAGACTATCTGCATCTGGCTGGTTTTTGTATCATTAAAAACTTTAATTAAAAAACATACTTAGTTTTATTACTATCAAGATGAGTAAATCTAATAAAGAAATTCGATATATTTTCAAATTTTAGGTACCACTAAAATGCAAAGCCAATGTTTAGTGTCTGTGAGAGTATCACGGGGAGGTTTTTAAGTGTTTTCAACTCTGAAATTTTGATGTCAAACATGTTCATCGCTATGGTCTGGCCCTATTACGGATAAAACGGATGCAATTTTTAAAAAAGTGGACCTAGAGCGGCATATCAGTTATTACGACGCAGCTGAAGAACTAGAAACTGAACAAAGTTTTGGCGCATTTAAAAATAACTAGGTACATGGGTACCTCACGAGCTTACTGAAAGAAAGAAACTTAATGAAAACGTCAGGGACCTATCCTTCTCACGCCTCAGCCGTCGTAGTATCTAGGCGACACTCCAGGGATCGGGGATCTGGCGACGATCTCCGTACACTGTAAGGACAGTGATCAAAGGTAGTTAGCCACTCGACTAGAACTAGACCCGAGCATATGACGCGTAGCATATCGTTCGTACCTCAAAGTACCAATAGACCACCGCCAATAGACGGGTCTCAACAGGGTCGAGGCTCAGCCGGAGTTGCGGGGCAAGTGCCATAATGAGAAAATGATATTCTCCGATAAAAAAAAACGAATTTTAGTATACCTAACCTTAAGGAATGTAAAAAAAAAAATCAGCCTTCGTGACAAAACCTAATTAAATCATTTTGGAGAATACCATTAGGCCTACTTACATGGGAAATAATGATACTATAATATATTACAATGACCACGTAAGTTTCTAGAACCTTACTCGTTACATTGAAAATATAAATAATATTTGATATATATCGCAGAGAGCCATACTTCAGCACTAATGTACCGGCTAGACTAATGCTAGCCTCAAAGAATACTGGCGTAGAAAAGCGCTCGCGTTGAAGGTCTCAGTCACAAATGTTCCCTTCCTGTAAAATGGCTTGCAACTTTTTTTAAATGCCCGTTTGCCTCGTTGTATGGTATTTTTTTATATTTCTAACTAGCTTCCATCTACGTTTAAAAGTAATGTGTCCCGGGATTTTGGAAACAGCAGCGTTTAAAGCAAATCAATTTCTATAGTTTATAACATTCAGGAAAATTTTGGAAATCTGACAAGCGGTTCCAAATTTTAAGTTAATAATATGTAGGGGGTACCCTACATACTAACTTAATTTACCTTACCTCTTTGTAATATTAGTAATGAAAATGACAAATATTACAAAAAAGTAGAAAGAGTACCCTAAATCTCCAAATCCCTAAAAGGTCGGCATCGCACTCGTAACTCCTCCGTTGCGGGTGTCCATGGGCGGCGCTCATTGCTTACCATCAGGTAATACGTATGCTCGTTTGGCGACCTATTGCATAAAAAAAAGAGCTGCTGTGTGTTGCATAACTGCATTTATGCAGTCACACTACATATATTCGAAAACCCCATAAATTAGGCAATGGGGATGTGACCTGGCAAGGGTTTCGGTTAGACCAGATATAATTGTGAAACTGCTTAATTTGAATGTGCTGTAGTGTACAGAATGTAAGCAGTAGTGGAATCCCTTTTTTTGCTAAGGAAAAAACATTAAAAGCCTTCTCTCGTCCAAGGTGAGGCGTGAGGGTGTGTCAGACTCTTACTAATTAAAACCCACATTCCCTCTCTTAGGCGAAGGCCGAGGCAGTGATACCTTATCGCGCTAGCCTCGAAACCCCATCTGAATATCGGCCCTGTAAATCCAAGACCCCTTGCAGTACACATAGCGCTTGTAAGCACTCGAATTTGAAAATGTCAAAATAATCAGACGGAAGACAATTCGGATGCTGACAGTAGAACGTTATCAAATAGAATTGTTTTTAGTAAAAATATAATTTTACAAACAAGTTCGTGTCACAATTTTTGAAAATACTACGAGGTTATTCAAGGAACAAACCAAGGCGTGACGACGAACACCTACCTACAAACATAGATTCCAACTGACGGACGTCTCTACTTCGAGCTTGATTTATTTATAGTGTGGAGTAAAAGGCCTATGAACGTCTATGACCTCCCAGTACTAGACCGCTTAGGAAACTAGGAGTCAAGTTTACCTTACTACGATAATATGCAATCCGAAACATTATGTCTAGTGATTATAATAAAGTTTTTAAATTAAGAAGAATTTTAGAATGTTTAAATGATAATCTCTTGGCAGACGTTATGACTCGATTTTCGGTAAATACTTCTGTTTTGTTTAAAAACTCAACCAGGATTTTGACTTACAAAATCGAGTCTATCAGTAAATTAGATGCAAAATCTGTAACATTAGGCAATCTAACAACCTGGTATGAATTAGAACCTCAATAAAAGAAACTCGATGACATCAATATTGACGCAACACAAATCCTTAAACCCAGCTGTTCATAATTTGAGGCGGCCGCTACACCGGATGGCAACGCGTACTCCGACCATCAAATTAATCGGCAGCTCACGTCGCCATGCATCCGTTTTGCACCAACATCTTTCACTTGACCATATGAACAGAATGAAGAACATTTTGAAACGTTTGCCTGTTACGTAAGCAAACGGTATCAGATCATTTGCGTCTTCACTTTCTTTTATTGCCTTTTGTGGTTTTAAGGTATTTTTATGTTTGTTTACTTTAGTAGTAGTAATAGGTCATTGGTTTGTGATGATACATTAGTTGACATTCGTTATATTTTATTTGATCTTCTCGCTCCTTAAAAACAGTGCTTTTTTCTATTCCACCTCTATTACCATCATCAGAATACTCCTGCTCTTGAATGCAAGATTCTTTCTTAGGCTTCCACTAGGATAGGTTTTAAAGACAGCCTTTGCTATCCATATCTATACCTATCCTAGTCCTCATTGAAGTAACAACATTAGACTTTACAAAAACCATGTTAAATGTTGGCAGGATAAAAAACTTTCGTCTACGTCGATTTTTATTGCCTAAACATGACAATAAACGTTAATTTATGATAAGTGTATCATTAATATGGCTTACATTTTCTGTAAACATAATTGAGGTTTGGTCACTTGAAACT